CCTACCTACCTACCTACTACCTGCCTTCTATCTATCTATTGCCTATGTTTATGGTCATGTTTAGGTTCACGGTTCTGTCTGTGTCTGTGCTTCTTTGGGCCAGCAAAGACGCTCTCGCAAGGATAGACATCTGTCGATCTGTTTGTCTATGCATCTGTCTATCTATCTGTCAGTCTGTTCCATCTGACTCTGTATAAACGTATGCAGCAACCGGATGCATATCACCTGAAAGCATGTGCACAGATGTGTACGTTGTGTATCGTGCTTATACACATGTATGTCACAGTATGTCTTCATGTGTGAACATACACAGATGTCCCGTTAAGCGCGATGACATGAAGTGGAGTTTTTGGGAGCAGACAGAGAGCGAGGGGCCGGGTTCGGACTGGCTCTTGCTTGGACATTGGAGCGGACGAGCCGAAGCCACGTTTTCCCACAAAGTTGTCCAGAATCGCCAGTGCTCGCAACTGCCCCCTGCTATACATCCTCCGCCAAAAAACATCAACCTAGGACTAGGAGTCCCGAAGTTATGTACAGCATACCTGAATCCTGGATACTAAGAGGTCCCTGCTTCTGTTTGTGTCGATGCCTGCCATGTAGAGTCATGGTGCAATCGAGGGATGCGCCCCGAGCGCTCGCTGTCGGAACCTATCAACAGCTGCCGAATGGAGACGGCAACGATTATGACACCGGTATCCACAAGCTTCCCGGCCCCACACCACTGCTGCAGATGGATGCTGACAGATGTACGAAGATCGTGATCTTCCCGCGCAGCCGGCATTTCGGCGGCACGGTGGATCCCGATCAAATGGTCGAGGAGCCTCTGAAGAAGGCCCGTCGAATCTTCCTCAATCCGGACAACCCCCTGAGTCACAATGCCCTGGAACGGCTGAAGTATGTCGGTGAGGAGCCTGACCATGGGAGGGAGAGACCTTGCAAGGATCCCTCGCAGAGCCCCTACTGCCCAGAGAAGAAATAGTAATCCCCCCGAAGCCCAAACCTTGTGCCATGAAGCCTTGACCCTGCTCCCCCCCTCTAATGTCCTTAACACCCTACAACCATTGCCCCTCAAAGTCAGGAGCCCATTTCCATGGAGCTCTACCAGCAAGACACTGGGTTCTTGTTCAGGAATTTGAGACCAGATTATCTACAGCCCTCTATTGTGTGTGGTAGCTTGAAAGAAAGCACCTTTACCCTGGACCCTTATAGAACCCTTCAAGGAATCTTCTTAGAGGAACCCTCAAAGGGAACCATAGGAACCCTTAGACGAACCATGAAGCCTCGAGAGGAACCCACCCTTAGAGGTAACCTTAAAAAGGAACCCTTAAAGCGGCCCTTCGAGAATGCCTAAGCCCAGGACATCCGGGCCCGGTTCCTAGAGATCCTCGAAGCGAGCGGCATCGAGGCCAGCCAGTTCCCCAGCATCGACGAAGATGAGGACTGGGTTTAAATTGCTTAGGGTGAGCATGTATGTATGCATGCATGCATGCATGTATGGATGTGAGCATGTATGCATGCATGCATGCATGCATGCATGCATGCATGCATGCATGCATGTATGTCTGTATGCGTGCATGCATGCATGCATACATACATACGTATGTGTATGTATATATATATATATATAAATATAAATATTAAAAAAATATAAATATAAATATAAATATATATGTATATATATAAACTACTAGGGTTTAGGGCTTGGGGGGTTCCGGGTTTTGTTGTTGCTTGGGGGCTTTAGCGTTTAGGGCTTGGGGGTTTGGGGTTTGGGCTTGTGGGGGTTCAGGGTTTTGTTGGGGCTTGGGGGCTTTAGCATTTAGGGCTTCGGGTTTTGGGGTTTAGGGGCTTGGGGTCTAGGGTTTAGAGTTTCGCCGGCGATGAGGACTTCGTGAAGGTGTACTTGCCCTTGAAGGGAGAGGCCATCGAGCATCTAGCCGAGAGCCTCAAGTTCCAGATGCCCTTCAAGAAGCTTGAAGCGAACGTTAGTTTCCATAGTTTAAGTTTATGCCCTAAATCCCGAAATCAACATTCAATCATCACGATTGCAGGAAAGAGCACTTTAGACAGCAGCAATAATACCAATGATGACGACTGATTGCTTTGTAATACGAAGACTGCTTGTACTTGGGTTGGTGATAGGAATCGTATGGGCACTCCTGGCAGTCATGATAAGTATGTGTTTGAGGAATAGTAGAGTGCCGGTAAAGGCGTAGCTGCAGTGCCGGTAAAGGCGTAGCTGCAGTCGCAGAATCAGCTTTGATTCATTGTGGTAATAGTCGCATTAGGCTACAGTTGCACCAAAAGGTACAAACAGCAGCAACAACCTCAGGATTGAGTTGCAGAGGTAGTAGTGATACAGTCTGGCAGGAGTACTCGACGCGAACGTTCCAATACTCGCAGCCACTGAACCCTAAACCTTGAATCCTACGATCTGCTTCAAATGAACCCAAAACCCAAAACCATACGCTCAGAACCCTCAAACTGTCCGCCCTGCAGCCCTAAGTCCCAAAACCCAACTCCCAAGCCCAGGAAGGAGGCTTACGAGTCTGTAGAGGAGCACGGCCCCCACCTCGGCCGGAAGCCTCTGGCAAACGCCGACGGACGCGTGGTCCCTGGGTGTCGAAATAAACTTGGTAACGCTATCCTCGTAAAGTCCCTACATAACCAGAGCGTCACGTACCCCGAAACCCTAGTCCAGTTATAAAGTTCCCGATACTGGAGCTTGGGTGCAGCGCTTTGGGTTTGAATGGGTTAGGAAAATCTAGCTACTTAGGGTTCGTGGTTTCGGGTGCAGCTGCCTGATCAAGCGCAAGCAACTCTGCGAATTTTTCGCTGTCTGGTTGCCAAGCATCGCAGGTCGTGGCGCACGCCCCTTACGACCGGCGGAGCAAGCACCTCTTCGAGGAGAAGCGTGGAACCGGGTTCGCATCGGGGAGGGGGGGGGCGGGGGGTTTGGAGTAAGCAGAGCAATTTCGCAGGGGTCGGGTCGAGGGCTGAGTCCGCCCCCTGCTGCAAGCGAGAGGACTTCACCCAGATGGATGCCATCCGGATTCTGCGGCATTGGTTCAACCTTTGGGTTCAGATGGACGAGATGGAGAGCCAGGGGATCATCAAGTGCACCTTTCCATGCCCGGTAGCCTCACAGATCCGAGAGCTGCACGACACAGGGCTGCACATCAGGAACTGGTTCAACCCGTTCTTCTCGAATCTGATACATCCTCTTAGAGCTTACTTTGGGGAAGAGATCACCTTCTACTTCAAGTATGCGGCCTACCTGATCTACTCCTTCTTGCCGCTGTCTGGTCTCGGGCTGGTCTTCTTTCTTATCAGGGGATTCATGCCTCCAAGCAGCATCGATTCTGTCAAGACTGCCCTGGCATGCCTCATATCCATCTGGGCTGCTTGCATCTCGCAAATGTTCTCCCGGCATGCTTCACGGGTGCAGCAGCTTTGGAATGCCGCAGCCTCGGAGTATCAATGAAGTCCGTAGCATTTGCCGGATATCAGGATAATATACAACTTACTCTGCTATGACCCGGGCTTCTGATTCCAGATTCCAGACACTGAGGTGAAGGAGAAATCCAAGTACGTGCAGAACAATCCCAATTGGGATGAGAAAGGGGCACGGGAAATCTGCACCATCGTGGTCAACTTGGCCACCATTGCCTATATGTGCCTCTACATCGGGGTGGTTGCTGCAATTCTGTTGAGGCAGTACAGTGCACCCGAGGATTTGCAGCGAAAAACTCCTAACTCAGTGGACTCCTATAAACCGAAGCTAGTTCCCGAAGTCTTCTGAATTGACTCCTGACCCCCGGCAAACTCCGAGGAGGGGGGTGAAGGCCCGAAACCGCAGGACTCGACTTTCGCAAAGTTCTCGTCTCTGATCCTCAGCTTGGTCATGAAGGTGGGCAGCCGTAATTGAGCATTCCCAACCTTTAGGACTCATGCTATGAGCTTGTGGTGCTTGAAAGAGGTGGGCAACATTCTCTGGACCTTTCTGGCCCCAATGCTGGTGAAGCTGGAGAACCACCGGACGCAAAGCGAGATGGAGGACCTGATTCCCTTGGAGTATCTCTGATCCCCAGAGTTGCGGCAACTTTCACAGGGATGGCTTCGATTTGGGTTTGCGGTTTCCCGCACTCATAGCCTCCGAAACAAAGCCTAAGACATTCAGACGTCTCTGTAAAACCAGGCAAACCCTAAACCCTGAACCCTAAACCGCAACCTGTAAGCCTGGCAAGGACAAGCTGGCTGTCATGCTGGCGGCGGTGAAGCTTTTTGTGGGCAACTTCCCCTTCTTCTCTCAGTGCCTCTGAGCTTTGGGAGACAGGATTCAGGCTTTAGGATCCTACAGCGAAAACTTCAGAGATTTTGATCAAGCTATGTTCCCATGTTTCAAGTTTCAAGCTTTGTTACTTGTGTTGTCCTCCTACTCAACGGAAGTTTCTTTCGTTGCTGTTGCTGTTGTTGCTGTTGTTGTTGTTGATGATGATGGTGAATTGAAAGACCTTAGAACTTAGAACTCAAACTTAAAGCCTGTAGCGCCGCAATGCCAGTGCTTCTAAACCCTAACGTATAGCCCACTCTCAGGTGCTTCTTGACAAACTGGCTGGAGCAGACCTGTGCACCCAACTTCCCAAGGGCTCCTTGGAAGATTTACTAGAACTACTCCTCCTCCTGCTCCTCCTGCTGCTGCTTCTGCCGCTGCTGCCACTAGTGCTACTGCTACTATAGCTACTATAGCTACTATAGCTACTTTACTATAGCTACTGCTACTGATACTGCTGCTGCTACTGGTGCTGCTGCTGCTGCTACTGCTGCTGCTGCTGCTGCTGCTGCTGCGACGACGACGACGACGGCGACGACGACGACGACGACGACGACGACGACGATAGCTTTCACGCTTCTTCCACCCCTCCTTTTTCGGTTGGTCCTGCTCCTGCTCCGTTGTCGTGCTGCTGCCGTGGCTGCTGCTTCTGGTGGTCGTAGTGCTGCCGCTGTTACGTTTCTTGCTGCCATGGGGCCAGGATTTGTTGTGCCACATCTCTCACCCAACGACAGGCGGCCAAGATGGTGTGGCCAGACTACAACCACAGCGCGGCGGACGACCACACACGGCAGGCGCAAGAGGGGCAAGGTTGTTGTGGGCGAGACTTCTTGTCTAGGTCTTTTGCTTATGTGTTGTCTGGAAGGTGGCAATCCTGCCTCAGTTGTCGAGCATCGCATTTAAGTCTTGTTGCTTTGCTGGCCCGTACTGAACGTCGGTGCCTGCAGCGCCCGAAGGTCCTCAGAACCTTCGCGTTCTTCCGATACAAGAAGGGCGAACGGATGGTCTGCTTCAAAGGCTGCTATCCCTCTAGCTGGGCAGACGCTGAAGCTTACACGCCAACGAACTGTGGCTGGGCTACCCTTGGGAGGTAAAGATGATGGGTTAAATTTAAGATGCATTCTGAGGAGGAATCCCCGATTCCGAGATCCCTGGCCACAGCCAGGCGATGTCAATGTGCGCTCAAACCTGCTGACGTTTTTCTTGCTCAATTTTGGCCTGGAGCTGGTCTTTTTGGTGGTGCCCCTGCTGCTGTCTTTCTGGGAGGTTCGGAAGGCCTGCGGCGAACGAGAGCGGGAAGCAGTCAACGAAGTCCAAAGTTTTGCAAGCCCTGCAAGCCCCTGTCCACTCTGCAATTGATTAGCCCGGAGCCCTGGAAAAAGTGCTGCCAGCCCAACCAGGAGTACTGGAAGGTGCAGCTTCGCCACCAGCAAGCTGCTTCCGATGATTCCTCCTCCGAAGAGGAGATGGCACCATACTCCTTCTTGCAGCTGGGCTTTGGGTTGAGTTGAAGGCGAAGTACACACGGGAGTACGAGCAGTCGAGCAGGATGGTCAACATCCTCATCCTCATCATCCTCAGCATGATCATCGTCCTGCTCCTGCTCCTTATCCTCCTCCTCCTCTTTTTCCTCCCCCTCCTCCTCCTCCTCATCATCTTCATCTTCAATTTCATCTCCATCTTCATCTTCATCTCATCGTCATCATCATGATAGGCGCAAGGGTTCGGGTTCCTGGGCTGTGTAGCGGCGGTTGTAGTCTTGAGCCAGCCAGGGTCCTAGCTTAGTTGTAGGTTGCGGTCCCTGTTCTGGTTAGAGCGGCTGCTTGCAATCAATCCAAGGCTCGCCAGAGGGACCTGCGACCCTGAACTTTTTCTGTAAGCGCTACAATTTCAGCCATGCGAGACGAACCAAAGATTCCCGAATGCAGCAAAGGCAGTGGGAGGCCAAGAAGTTCAAGTATGAGTTCAACTCCTGGGGCGGTGACAGGAGACGCGAAGAGGGATCCCTTTTCTTTGCTTTAAGGCCGATGTTGAGTGTAGCATAGTGTAGCGTTGCACTGCCCTACACGGCTCGTTGCGAAGCGCGCTTGCGGAGGATCAACGATTTCCTGGATCTCGCCATCAGCTACTCTGTGGCTCTGACCGAACTTGCGGCTGTGGGCCAGGATCGATCTTCGTGTGTGTGAGGATCGGGCTCTAGTCTAGGATTTTCGTCCTGTCCATTCTCAGGCCCGTGATGTGAAAGGGTTGGTTCCTGACATTCTCAATCTGCTGGCCGTGACCCTATGACTGCACAGCGTTCAGAAAAACTTCCGCCGTCAGCCGCATGTGTAAACAGCTGGCCGTGGCACACGGCTGCAACAGCATTTCGAGAACTACATTTTGCAGCAGCTTGTATATATATGTTGTGAGAAAGGCGGCCTGGTTGTGAACCGCAACATGTCCCAGGGGATCAACAGGCCTTGAGTCTGGGCCTCGAGTTTACAACAAGATGCAAGCCCCCCGCCTTTGGGTGGGTAAGAGGTTCCTTAACTAAGTCGAGGGCCGACAACTTGCCCGTCAGTCCTCCTTTGCGACTAACTGTCGTCCGCGAGCGTTTTCCGGCAGGGCCGCTGGCCATTTCCGAGGGCTTTGGGGAAATGCGCCACCGACAAGCCACATACTTGCATACATGCTAGCAGCTGCTAATGTATGTACAAATCTACACATGTGTGCATCTACGAGTGTGTGCGGTATATGCAAATATGCATACATCGTAGGTACCTACATACCTACAGAAGTACGGGACTACGTACGTACATGCAGACATGCATACAAACCAGACATACCTACATACCTACATACCTTCATACTCACATACACCCATACCGACATACTTACATACCTGCATACATATCTACATGCAAGCCGCTGCACGAACTTGAGTCCTGCAGTCCCTAGGAATCCTGATCTCAGGTGGTGGCCTGCTGGGGCTCAATCTGCCCGCTATTGTTCTTCATGGCGATCGTTTTCGTGAGCTTCTCCCTGCGGCTTCGCCTCTACAGGAGTGTCGCCGGTGCCTTTTGTAGCGTGCACCCCAAATCGTTAACTTCTTTTGGACGCCGGTTTCCTGGTGGCAGCATCTTGTCGTGTTGTCAGAATTGCCCTATCAGCAGGGCTCGCAGGGCACCCGGTCAAACAGGGCAACTGTGCGAAGGTCGGTGATAGTGGTTCGTAGCTTCCGCATCAGCGAGAAGGATGGTGGTATTCGTTCTACCAGACACAGGGATGTGTTTCCAAGCAAAAACTCAGAATCGTCACAAATCGAGATCTTGGCAATTCGCCACGACAGATGCAGTTGCAGCCCCTGGACAACAAGCGGCGGTGGCGGTGGTGGCAGCGGTGGGAGTGGGGCAGTCGCAGGGTAGTGGTAGGTAGCAGTCACTGGTAATGGCAGCTGCAGTTGTCGTCGTCGGGGTCGTGGTGGTGGTGGTGGTCCCTCAAACCTCAACCCTCAAGCCTTACACCCTAAAACCCCTAAAAGCCATGTTTACCTCGACTTACCCCTTCGGTTCCACGGACCCTCCGATTGTTAGCCGCAGCTTCCTCGGGGAGGATGCTCTACGTCACCCGCCGGCCTTCGCCCCGGGCGAGCGCGGGCTTGGGGGTGTGGAGGCACGGAGGTTTCGGGCTTGGGCTGAGGGTTTAGGGCTCTTTAGGGCTTAGGGCTTTTAGGGCTTTTAGGGCTTTTAGAGTTTAGGAGTTTAGGAAGTTTAGGGTTTAGGGTTGGGGTCGGGGCTTCGGGTCAGGATGGGCGCACAAATTGTGGCGAGGATTGGGGCTTGAGATTCTGGTGCTCGGAGTTCTACATGAGCTGGACTCTAATGATCTAAGATGGGTCTGCCCGGTCACGCTTCGCCTGTTTCTTTCCTGAGGAACATCTTCAATGCCATCAACGTGTTCGCCGTTGGGGCCAATGTTGGGCTTTTCACGGTGTTCTTCTACCCCATGTGCACATATTCCTTCGGCACGCAGCTGATCTGCTTCATCATCGCCGAGCACGCGGTGCTCCTCCTGCAGGCCGGGATCCAATTCGTGATTCCAGCGAGGCCGGCGGACGTGGTCTCCATCGAGTACTACAACAAGCACGTGAAGTGCTGCCATCAGCTCACCGAGGTGGGTCCGAACGCGCGGACGTCTCTGAACCACATCGCTCTCCCCCTGGTCCCAGAGGGAGCCCAGACGACTTCATCGGGAAGTGACAACGAGTGTACAGACGGATGGTGTTAACGAAATGCCTGTGGCAAAGCTCCATATCGTTTCAGAACGCTTACTGTAGGATCTTGGAAAGAGTGTTCCTACAATCAGAGGACCTTGCTCCACCTGGATGCGAGATGCGAGAAGACTTAGCATGTGACGCCCTTTTGGTCGACTCTTTCGGGATGCCTTTGCGTGAGACTCCGTCGCCGGTGCAGTTCTACTGCTTGCACTCGGCCTGGAGCTCCGGATCCGAAAGTCTCCCATCCTCTACCCACATAGCTGCTAAGGAGCCAAAGTATCTCATCCGAAGACCCTGCCCGCCTCCCACAGCAGGTCCAGTGGGTGGGGGAATCCCACGGTGGTGAGGCAGCGGCACCTTGGCCATGATTAGAATCTACATAGGATGTGCCCAAATCCAGAAACCTTTTACGATTCTTTTCTCAACACGGGTTTCGCCTTGTTCTTACTTGATCGATCTTCCAGGGTTTCAGAAGCATTCTAGCGTTCTGAGGGCTGGCGCGGTTTGGTGGATTTGGTGGATCCTAGACTCTTGATGCTGCGTATTCACGCTGCTCGCGAAGCCCGAATTCCGAAATCCCATGGCCCTTAATTTTGATCCGATGATTACCACGTATTGAAAGCGGGTAAGTCTGATGAGGGGACTCATAATTTTGAGTATAACTTGCTTGGTATTATGATCCTTCAAACAAGACCCTCCACCATAGTATAGAACGTGCCATACGGCCAGGCTTGGACCAAACCCTTAACGCCCGAACCCGGCGACTCCTAAGCCCCGGGACCCTGGCCCCCAAACACTGAACCCGAAAACCCCACATCACGGAGGCTTGAATGCGATCCCGACTCAGGAAACATCCACCCCCCACCCTCAGCCTTAAGCCCTAAACATTCCCAAGCCCCGAAGAAATGATGAACCCTAAACCCTAGACCCTAGACCCTAAACCCTCATAAACGAAGCCCCAAAGAGACCAAATCAAACCTCTGAGTCGGAACTTCAGGTCTGCTCCTCCCCCGAGACCTTCGAGGACCTCGCTGACCTGCTTGGAGTGCAGCCTGTTCTCTTGGAGGCCTCCTTACAGAGGGGCTCCTAAACAAGGTTTCCGGGTTTAGGGTTTAGGCGTTTAGGGGTTTCTTTTGAGCGGTTTCTTTATTAAAGGGTTACCGACAAAGAAGAGTTCTTGGAGGGCTCCTCCTCAAACAAAGGGTTTCGCAGGGCTTCTTGAAGGCTTCCTGTAAGGGCTCCTGGAATCAGGGAAGGGTTCCGTCCAGGGTTACCTTGCTGATCTTTGGTTATCGGCTCTTTCTCCTTTTCCTCCTCCTTTTATGCCCGTCTTTGCTTTGTCGCCTTTTCTTACTACTTTGGTGGTGGGGCAGCGAGGGAGGTGAAAATGTCGGGCTCATCGTCCTTTCATCCTGAGCCGAACGCATCCGACGGCTTCCTATCGCCTCTAAACCCTAAACCCGAAACCCCCAAACTCTAAACCCCTAAACCCCGAAACCCTAAACACCTAAACCCCGAAACCCTAAACACCTAAACCCCTAAATCCCTAAACCCCTGAACCCCTAAACCCCTAAACCCCTAAACCCCTAAACCCTAAAACCCTAAGCCGCTTTCTACCTCAGTATATCGGGCCCTGCGCCCTGCAGTCTCTCTACCGTCGTCGGGATTTCCTGGACCGAGCTCTTCGGTTTCAGGGGTTTCAGGGCTTTGGGTTTAGGGTTTCGGGGGTTTAGGGTTTAGGGTTTAGGGTTTAGGGGTTTAGGGTTTACGGTTTAGGGTTTAGGGTTTTTGCCGAATTCTTCGGTGTCTTTCCTTAAGGCCAACTCTGAACCCTGCACTGGGTCCTTGTTGGCTACAAGTTTACATCCTTGGTTATCATAAAACCCCCACTAAGGACTAGTAAATTGATCTTACATTTATGTTATAATAGAACCCTAACAAGGATAAAAATGATCTTTTTGAAATAGTAAAACCCTAATGAGGATTAGAAAAAGATGATCATTTTGAAACAATAAAGCCCTAAGAATGTTTTTAAAAAAGGATCACTTTTAAAATAATAGCACCCTAATCAGGATTATAGAAAAACGATGATTCTTACAATAAGAAAACCCTAATGAGGATTATAGAAAAAGGATGATTTTTACATTATGGGCTCACACAGGGAACCAGGCCAACCCCCACAGCCTCTGGCAGCTCCCTGGAGCCCCGAACTCTGCGCGGCGACCTTTTTTTGCACGCCCGAAGTGTCCGGGCTGCTGTTTCAGGGTTTCGGGTTTAGGGAGGTTTAGGGGTTTGGGTTTAGGGTTTAGGGACGAATTGGGGATTAGGATTTAGGGGTGTGTGGACGTGCAGGTGGCACTCAGCACCAAGAAGCGGAAGATGCAAGGAACTGAGTGCCATGTGGGTACGACCTGGTGTGATGGATCCTTGAGCTGCAGGGGTTTTAAGAATTTTTGGTCTATCGCCAGGCGATTGTCAAGCGAGTTCCTGACATAAATACTGCATTGTCATGGGCACGTTGCAGTATTTTCGCCGATGCCCAGCATATATGTCTATACATATATGTCCATCTCTCTCTCTCTCTCGATAGATATATTTCTTTTTGAATGCATGTAACATGTAAGTATACGTACTGCTGCCACTGCTAGTGCTCCTGCTACCGGTCCTGCTACTGTTTCTGCTACATCACTGCTGTTGCAACTGTTGCTGCAAGCCTTTGGCTGCTGATGCTGGTGTCAGCAAACAAGACAGTAGCAGTAGCAACTTTGGCGAGACAAAACAACATGATCGGCAACAATGAAGAGTAATGACACTATCAAGGTTCATCGTGTTGCGTCCTATGCTTTGGTAGCCGGATCGTAGGTTCGGCATCTTGTTCAATAATACTACTAATAATAATACTAATAATAATAACAATAATAACAATAATAATAATAATAATAATAATACGGGAGGGGATCAGCCGAAAACGGCGACCATCGAGTTATGGAGTCCATAGGGTCTTTCCTGAAGAAAGGATGGCTTAGGGGTTTAGGGCTTAGGGTTTAGGGTTTAGGGGTTTTGGAGCTCTGCCCCTCCCTCCCCGTCCTCTCTTGAAGCCACGATAAGCGCCCTGCAGAGCCGTTGGACTCCAGCATACTACAGTATGGCATACTATGAGCTACCCGAATATAGGCTATATTACATTTTTAGTTTGGACCATAATATGCAGTAATCTGTCGTAATTAACTTTCATATGCTTTAACCTACCATAATCCACGGTAGCGTCTTGTAACATGCGATCGCGCATTATCATATATACTATCACATGCTATACATATCGTTATTATGGGTAGGCGCTCGGGCCCCCAAGGCAAGCCTTTACCCTAAACCCTAAACCCTGCCTTCAGCAAGGCCGCGGGGCTCCATCGTGTCCTCGCCGCTCACGTCGGGAACCCTCGAGTTCCGGGCTTCGTAACTATAATGTATTACATAATACTCTATAATGTACTATATAACCTACTACTATAGTCTATGATCTACTATAATAGTCTATAATCTACTAGAGTATTCTAGAGTCAGAATCTACTATAATAGTCTCTAATCTACTATAATATTCTGTAATCTACCATAACATTCTATAATCTACTATAATCTTCTGTAATATACTTATTATAGGAGGGTTCGGGTTTAGGATTCAAGGTTTCTGCTGCTTGCAGGTTTGGAGGGGTTCGGGTTTCGTGGTATTTCAAGCCTCTCTGAGGTCTAGTCCGAGGTCTGGCAGGTTCGGTCTAACCCTGCTGGCCGTTCAACAACGTGCCATCAAGTCCTGTGATGAGTGGCCGTTTTTTGGGGATTCCGGTGGCGGGCGCTTCGTTGGCCAAGGCCTAACCAGGCGGCGGAGCTGACCCAGTCCATCGCCCGGTCCTTGTACGAGGCCCTCGGGTCACACCTAGCAGCAAGAGTTGGGGAGTAAACATCCTGACGGGGAGGACCACAGCACTCGCAAGACGGGTCGTTCGGCTGTCGGCTCATGGGGCGTGCTGCACTCTTTGTGGCGGGGCCAGATGAAAGAAGTATGAAGAAGCAGACTACGTGCCTTATTGAAGATCATACCTTGAAGCTTGGTGCAGGGGTAAGCTTAGGTTGGTGTCAGTGCCTCGAGTTGAACTCCGCAACCGACAGCATCGGACCTAAGAGCAACACTGACTCTACGTCACCTCCTGGCGTTTTCGGCTCTCTCCGATGAGAAGAGCTGAGTCGCCGACGACGTCCGAAGCGGACACATATTACGCAGAGGAGGGGCCTCTGAGCCTCTGTTGTTCCCGAAGTGGAGTTAACTCGTGCGTCTGCGAGGCCTCGATAGGAGTGCCCGAGTGTAGAGTTTTGTGGTACAGAGGTGATATGAGCTGATGATGCAAATCGACTTTGGTATGCCATGAACTCACATTACAGCATCTCTCCTTTCTCCCGAGGAGTGGTGTTGTGACATCTTTCATCACATCATCGAAAGGGTTGGATGATATGCGCTTGAGCCGTCCTCGGCACAGTGCTGGCTTGCAAGATACCCATGCATCGGAGATGGTGAGGAGCTTTGCTCTTGCATACTTGCACGCCACCGGCTTTCAAGGCTGGTTGAGGCCGTAAACTCTCAAAGCTCAGCTCCCCGACATGCGGGAGCCGGTTTTGTGTGGTTGGTGAGGTCTAGCCACATGCGAGTGCCTTGAAATCCGAAGCCCGTTCTTGAACTCGGAAACGTGGTGGCTCTCTTGTACGCAGGCCGAAATTGCCGAAAGCCCAAACCCTCAACCTATACGAACATGAACACGAAACCCTGAAACCTTGAAGACTGAGCCCACAAAGCCTAAATCCTAAACCCTAGAACCCTTATGCCCTCGAGCCTAAATTCCTGAACCTTTGTCGAGCCCTTTTGGAACCCTTTTGGAGGCACTCTTCCTGTGGGCCGTGCGTCTGATCAACACCCGCAGCCGCGGAGGTGCGCCTTGGTGCTTGCCCTAAACCCTAAACCCTAAACCCCAAACCCCGAAACCCCCAAACCCCTAACCCCTAAACCCTAACAGTTTGCTTAGGAGGTGACTTCTATACAGGGTCTTTAGGTCTCAAGCGGGTGTTTTGGGGCTTGACATGGTTCTATAGGGGCTTTAAAGGGGTTCTTCTGCAAAGTTTTCAGTTCAGAGGGTTTACATTGGTTTTGAAAGGGTGCCGCAAAGGTTTTGAAGGGGTTCTGCGGTAACGGTAACGGTTTCAAAAGGGTTCCAAGATGTGTGCCTTTAAGGGGTGGGAGTCTTCAGACGGAGTGCATTCTGGAACTATCATGACCATCAAGAGCAAGACAGACCGTTAGTAGAACGAGGCGGCTTGCCAAAATTTCCGGAAGAAAGGTACTTTTTGGGGCGTTATAAGGCGATTCTACTGCATCTCAACGAAACACAGGTGCAAAATCGTGTGTCCCTACTGTTTGCAACACAGGTTTCGCTTTGCACACGTCCCGTCATGTTCAGACTACTGCGCCAACGATGAAACGCCAAACCTGTTTTATGGTGCAGTCGCCCTGCAAAATGCTAGATCCGATTCGTAGACGAAGCAGAGAGGCTTGTGACACCTGCTACATGATTTGACGGGAAGAGCTATCTGGCTACAAGTACCTGTTTCCATCGCGGTGCTTGATCATCGCCCCCATGGCACGGACACAAGGCTTACAGGAGGCGCTCTCCTGCTTCACTCCGTTGCCGCCGGCTGGGCCTCCAGATGTGCATCACCACGCTGTGACACTGCACACCTACGATCTTCACCGACTAGTTCGTGGCCTGAACACCTTTCTCAACATCCCGGGCTTTTACCACACAGGAGTTGAGGTACATGGGCGCGAGTTCAGTTTTTCCAGCAGCGGCATGATTGAATACTGCCCTCGAGGATTCGCAGGCCACCTCTACAGGGAGTCTATGACCTTGGGAGCCACTTCTTTTTCACAGGATGAGTTGAACCTGCTCTTGCAACGCTTCGATTCAACATGGGTGGCGTACGATTACCACTGGATCCGGCGAAATTGCAGCGACTTCTCTGAGGCCTTCTGCGTGGCTCTGGGTGTTGCCCCGCCTCCTCGGAATTCACGGTTCTGCGCTTGCCTACCAGCGAAGGAGGTGTCACGCAACGCAGACCTGAAACGTGCCGTCGCCGCTCGCGACTTCGTTGAAGGTCTGCGCGAGACCGGAGCAACGAGCCAGGAGGATTCCAGCCCAGTGAGCACCATGTTGCCATCACTTCTTGGCAGCCCGCAGTCTGGGGAACACAAGGAGATGGGCACCTCGTGCTTGCAGGTTGCGACACAGGTGCTGCTGCCGATGGGCTGCTTGCAGCGCTCGCAAAATCACGATCGTGATCAGGCTGGGGCA